GAACCACTTTAGAGGCATACTTTGTGTGATCCATGTAAGGCGACAGATTTTTGGTGTAAGGCTGACCGTTGATGATTTCAACGGTCACGATCCGATTGGGTGTGATCAAAATGCACTATTCAAAGTTAATAGTCATTTACTATTAACTACCTTTTAACAGTCACAATGTTTGAAATTGTGACTATTCAAAGAGCCTTTTCTGAACCTGCACCCTCCTCTTTTCCATGACTTTTCATAAACTATTTAAGGAATGTGAATCAAGCAATTGAACATAAGTTTTCGAAAATCACTTTTGTCTCTCTTAGTTCAATCTGCTACTGTCTCATATAGAAGGTTTCTTCAGAGACTCTTCAACTTTGTTGGTCGTAGATTCTCTCATAAGGCTCTGTTGTATCCTGTGAACGAATTTTCCTATAACCCAACAGCAAACTTAGTAAAACTGAGTAGGGAAAATAATGTTCTAAAGATAACGTCTTCAGGCATGCCTCAAAACGCTTCTCCTTCAAGTTTCTATAACCCCATTTTACCAACAATTTTAGAACGTTATTTTGCAATAGAGGCAGAAGCAAGCATAACTTCGATCAAGATGATGAACTAAAACCTTGTTTGACTTGACCAGTTCGATAGAGCAAATGTTAGTTGATGGCAAGGCAAGATCTTCTTTCTGACCACACTGAAATTATACTATTTATTTGATCTGAATCAGCAACCTCTTCTAGAACCCACTAACAAAGACACTAAAAGGCTAAAGAAGGAAAGATCAAAACAAGAAGAGGATTCACTTTTGTGTTGATGACTATTGAATGCCTTATCAGACCGGCTTTACAACTTCTATAAGGAACTCTTATCTCCATAAAAAATTTGGAAGGCTTTGGATTTCAAGTACAATGTTCAAGAAGTAGGTACGGACAAATATCTTATTGTAGAATACTTTGACTTCATCATGAACGACCATAAGCCCATATTGGAGCAAGTTCACGAACTACAAGTGATAGTTAACAGAATTTGATCCTTCGACATCATCCTTCTTGAATCTTTCCAAGTGGAAGCAATAATTGACAAACTCTCATCATCTTGTAAGGATTACAAGAAGAAGCTTTTGCATAAAGCAAAAGAATTTACCTTGGAGCAAATTCAACAACACCTTCGTATTAAAGAAGAGTTTCGGATTAGAGACAGTAGGGATAAGACCCTAGCTTGTATGCTGAAGTCTAAGGTAAACTTTGTGGAAAATATATTAAAAAAGATTAATCATGCATTATAAGTAAAGAAGAAGGACCGGAACTTCAAGAAGAGAAACAATAAGAAAGAGTCCTACTATGTTTATGGAAAGAAGGGGCACTATGCCGAAGTCTAACGACATCAGAAATGTGGAACCAAGCCTACAAACATGATGGAAGACAATCTAGTGGCCATGACCGCTAAAGTGAGTATGGTAGAATCATCTTCTGGATAGTGATTTGGTTCAGGCGCCATAGTCCATGTTTGCAAGACAAGTCCTTATTTAAGACGTATGAAGAAGTGCTGGTGGCCAAAATGTACAAATGAGAAACCAAACATGTGCCAAAATTGTTGGAAGAGATAACCTGGAATTGAACTTACCTCTTGAAAAACACCAACCCTCTTGAATGTTCTCCATGTTCCTTACAATAGAAAGAAATTGGTCTCAATAAATATTGTCTGCAAGAGGGGATTTAAAGTTTTATTTGAATCCAACAAGCTAATCCTATCTAAAAATGGGATGTTTGTTGGAAAGGGATATGGTTGTAATGGTATGTTCAAATTGAGTATTAAGGAAGAAAAAATGTTTTGCTTATATTGTTGATTATTTGTCTTTATGGCATGATAGATTAGTACACTTGAATTTTAGATCCATAAAGAACATGAGTAAACTTGGTTCAATTACATATAGTAACGAATTAAATGATAAATGTAAGATGTGCGTAAAATCTAAAATGGCCAAGAATCATTTCCCAGTGTTGAGAGAAATTCTCAACTTCTAGAACTAATTCATTTTAACATCTATAAACTAAATGATGTATTAACTAGAAGAGGCAAAAGATATTTCATAACTTTTATTGATGTTTTTTCAAGATACACTTATTTCTATCTTATGAGAACTAAGGATAAAGCCTTTGACATGTTTAAACAATACAAAACTGAAGTTAAAAATCAATTGAAAAGGAAAATTAAAATACTCAGAAATGATAGGAGTATTGAGTACTTTAAGAATGGGTTTAATTACTTTTGTGAAGAATTTGAAATAATACATCAATGCTCTGCTCCCTATACCCCTCAACAGAATGGCTTGGCCGAAAGGAAAAATAAAACTCTTACAGAAATGATAAGCTATATGCTGATGAAAGCTAATGCCACCACTAAACCTGTGGGGGGAAGCACTCCTAACAGTTTGCCATTTACATAACATGATTGTTTCTAGAGTTAATAGCTTAGCATACCTAAAAGTATGGAGGTATTTAGCATATTACAGAGTTCTAGACTCTAAAAGAACCAAATTAGGATTCAGAGCAAAAAGAAATATGTTTGTTGAATATGCAGAATATAGCAAAGCCTATAGGCTTATAAATTTGGAGTCCAACAAGAAAAATGACAAAAACTCAACAGGAAAAATTCAGATCTCAATACCTATTGATAACAATGTGATTGAAAGAAGAAATGACACAACTATAACATGTATAGTAGAACCCAAAAGAAGTAAAAGATAAAGAATAGAAAAATACTTAGGTTCTGATTTTATCTCTACTCAATCAATTGTGTTCTTGTTTAGGCTGATAGAGAAAATGTTTTAAATAAGATACCAATTACAAGGATCAAAATTTTGTCACGTATCAGCCCGTATCAACTTATATGTATCGTATCAGAGCCCTCTCGATATGCCCCTGTAGGGGGTGTTTCGGGTTAACGAGTGGTTCAGGGGGTAGACCGGCCCCTTTGAACTAGTTTCAGAAACAATAGTACCGATATAGGTTGATACGTTCTATCGACATATCGGCATGTATCGATATTTGGAACCTTGACCCATTGTATTAAACATTGAAAATAATCCAAAAACCTACAATGAGGTCGTGACCTCTGGAGATGCTGCCTTTTGGAAGGAAGCTATAAATGATGAATGAATTCAATAATGTAAATGGGTGTTTATAAGAAAGTACAACATTGATGAAACTGTAAAAACTTTTAAGGCTAGATTAGTAGCCAAAGGATTTAGTCAAAATGAAAGGGTTGACTACTTAATTTAACACCTATGTGCTAGTGGCTAGAACAATTTTTATAGCACTAGCATCTATTTATCACTTATCTGTTCATCAAATGAATGTTAAAACTGTTTTCTTAAATGGTGATTTAAATGAAAAGTCTACACGGAACAACTAGAGGGATTTGTCCTTCTTGGAAATGAGAAGAAAGTCTATAAACTAGTTAAATCAAGTGTGATTAGGAGGCACTATTCAAAGTTATCAGTCACAATGTTTAAAATTGTGATTGTTCAAAGAGCATTATCTGAACAACACCTTCTTCTTCACCACGACTCTTCATAAATTATTTAAGTAATATTAATTAAGCAATTGAACACAATGATATATACACTAAAATCAAATCACCTTTGGCGTTTGCATGTAATTAAAATAGGAACGCAAGGCAGCAATTCTTAACATGCCCTCAATCGAGGCAAACTTTGATGTTATTTGGTGTATGGGTGCTTCGTTTCAATGTTTGTGGTTGAATTTAACATTGGAAATTGAGAAAATAAAGTATTTTCGTGCATAAAAATGTGGTTTTAAACACATAAGTGAGCACCACTAGGTGCCACCAAATGCCACATAAGTCAGATCGAAACCACCCCCCTTGTTGAGGGCATACCATTTTGAGGCTTCTTCTAATACCACAATGGACCAAGGTTCAGAGAACTGCGACGCTCAGTGCTCAAAAATCAAGTATCAGGTATGTGAGCATATCAATACACTTTACTTTTTTAGTTTTTAGGTTTGACAATCTGCAGATGGGTATGGTTAGATGATCATTACCATTTAAATGTATTAAATCTACCTAACTCAAGTGTTGCATATTGGTGACATTGAAAATAGATACATATCGTATGAACCTTGTAATGTACAACCTAGTAGATGTTTAGTTGGAGGAATTGGTTTGCTAATTTCAATTTATAATTTTGTCATATCATCCAATTCCCCAAATTGTGAAAAAAAAATCCCATTAGATAAGACTGATCTGTCAAAAGCCAAAAAGGAAATTAATCATTCTCAGTTTTCAAATTCGAGTCAATCTCCAAAGCTTACAATTTGCTTGAAAAATCAGGGGTGGTTCTCAAATTGATTTCTATCAGGGTAGTAGCATGTCTAGGGCAATGATGTGCAAACTGATAATGTTATGACAGTAAATGTTTACAGGAAAAATCACCTCATCGGCCTTATATACCGGAAAGATATGATACCTGAAAAGCTTTACCCAAGCAGAAACCTGGGAGAACTTTGGCTGCACGTTCTGATGGGTGTGGGGTAAAAGAAAAGAACGTTTGCAATCAATATTCTTATAGCCAAAAAGACTAAGGGACAAGATGCTCTCAAACATCCTAAACAACAGAGTTTTTCTTAGAAACCCACATGCATTTGAAATTTTGAATGAATGCCAATCATTCGCGCATGCCCGCTGGCTTCGCATCAACGGAGTTGATGGTTTCTATTGGATTTTCCAAACATTCAAATCAACCTTTCATTTCCTTATTTCCTTCCAGGTAACAAGAGATGCTTGCCTTCTAAGCATCTCCACTAAAAGATGGACATGCAAAAGGATGGATTGCTCCTTGAATCTTGAAGAGATAATTGAGGGTGTTTGGGTTGTTTAAAAGAGAGTTTTTTTAATTATTAAAGCTCAGTTTGGAAGGAGTATAAATGCAAATATGTAGAGTGCTATTTTGTATTATTTTATATATATTTATAGTATAAATATTTGTATTTACACTCTTTCCAAACTGAGCCTAATAAATATTTACACTCTTTCCAAACTGAGCCTAATAAACAATGGCTTGTTCAGGAACCACAAACAACAGCAATTGGTAATTTTTCCCTTCATTTCGGGCCATACTCGAGTTTGTGATCGGATATCGTTTGCGGACACATCTTTCATTCATTGAATCACTGAAATAAAAGAGATCGCTCGGTGAAGAGGTACTAGTACTCACAACTAAAGCCATTCTTTTCTTGACTGTGAAATTTAGCCACGTGCCTACAGAAATGAGTAAAAGTTCAAATAAGAATGCCACGGAATATTTAATTTCAATCACGGCACAAATGCACAATGAATAACAGAACAACATCATGGCACAATGAATAGAACCAACTCTACACTTAGGGCTCCAAATACATGCTAAAACCAAGAGACTAATAATAGTATCGGTATGCCATTGGATTAATATAGAAAAAAAATATCAAGGAGATGTTCTGCTAGACGGGTTGTTTAACAGAGGAATACAAATGATCCAGTTGGCTTTCCAGTGCCAATGTGGTTGGGGGGTCTCAAAAGGGAGCCATTTGCTCCTTTCATTCTCTATTCATGCAGAAAATTTCAGATTAAAAATTTAAAATCACCTTGTCATGCTTCCAAGGAAAGCACTTCTTTAAATTTCAATTCTTAATTGAAAAAAAAAAGAGTTTAGCTTTGGATCAATGTTGCAAGACTCGGACTGGACTAAAATCAGTATGCTCACTGGAACATTTTTTTTTCCAGTTAACTGGATGGTTACCCGTTCAACCCATAAAAACCATCATTTAACTGGGACCTGAAAAGGTCACTGGGTCACCGGGGCAGCAGTTCAACTGTCTGGCCTGGTGAGTCCTACAACACTGCTATTAAGGGGGAACATGTGACAGATTCAAAGAATCCCTTACGAGTTACGGCCTTGCCCAAAATTGACCCATCTGTGATTTAAGAAACTTTTCTCCTATTATTAACAGAAAAGTAGCAATATTTGCATTGAACCCACAGACCACTATTCAGTGCTGGAAAAGCCAAAATAAAGGACGCAAGACTTGAAATTTCTAGAAGATGACAAAGTACTAAATACAACAATTTTTTATGGCAAGCAAAGTGACTAAATAAGAGACCATAAAAGAATTGATTGGTAATGATTAAATGAACCGAAAATTTTGAAACTTGGTGGAATACATAAATTCTTCATGTGTTTTGCATGGACAGAGTTGCATGCAAACATCCGCACAAAGCTGACATTTTATTGAAGGATCTCTTCCCCGCAAAATATTAGATGTAATAAGGCTATAGTTTACAAACACATCCGTCTTAATGTGAGAAGGAAACAGAAAGGTTATAAATGGAAATATCTTGACTGTATCAAGATCATTCTCGAAAACATTCTGGAGGATTCCAATGAGGCACCTCCTCCAAGCTGAAATCGTAAGTTACAAAAAGGAAAAAATGAAAGAATAAAAGAAAAAATGGATGAGACAAAAGGACAAAACATCTCAAACAATGATTACAATATTCCGTCTACAATGATAACTAGCACCAAGTAAACAAAGAATCAGCTGATGTTTGGGCCTGCAAACACTCACCTGGAGTCTCAAAAGCTTTCAAGCCGAATTGGTTATTTGAGGATGTTTAGTTTCTTTTCTAGACAATAAAAATGATGCATCTCCTCTACTGAACTATATCAGCAACCAGCAGCCTTCAGAAAGTTATCATATGGACTTGATGCTGGCAACCTGAAGTTGGAATGATGTTGGTACTCAACTGCACACAACATTGGAGTAGTGCCAACTGATGATTTGCATCCTTTTGCACTTAAATCATGATCAAGGAAAGGATTACCGGTCTGCAGGTTCAAATTCTTCTCTAGTATTAGATACCTTATCTAGGAAGACTGCATATTTTTATGTAAATATGCATGCAAAGCAGATATGCTTTATGAATGCATGGGTCATATATGTGTGTATGCAGGCGAATAGGTGTGTGATGATATAAATCAAGGAAACATAAATAATATAAGTACCAGAGGTAAACCCATGTCAACATGGGAATGAGATGATATTGTTTTTGCTTCGTTGTGATCTTGTACAGAGATGCTAATTAAATTTTCTAGTTTCTGTTGAGCAGTCGTGAAAGTTGACAGTTTTTTCTGTTTTCCCTTCAAAAGGGTCTCACAATGTAAGGCTGTTTCCGTATATGGTACATCAGGTGTGGTTGACACTGAAAATCTTCCAACTTGACGTGCTGTATCCAGGACCTGTACACATTTCACCCACTTGAGCACAAGGTATGACATAGATTAAATTCAAACAAGTGATAACTAGGATTTAATTATCCATTCTGATTGGTTTGTTCACCAATTGGTGATCTCTTATAAATGTTACACATTTTATCCAATAGTAAAAAACAAGGTTTTAAAAGGCTAAAGGTGTAGCTGAGGCATAATGACTTGAGAAGGTGATGCATAAGCCTCAAAAATTAAAAAAAAAAAAAGATTAACTAAAGTTTATAGTATGCTTCCTGATTTGTCTTTTCATGCTGAACAGAACAGAATAATGAAATAAGATTCATGTAGCTGACCTCATATAGTTGGGACAAAGCTTAAACGATGATGTCTTCTTGTCTTTGAAACTAAATTTATATTGTCATATGCAAAGAAATAATTATACAGGGTGGAGTATGTGGGTACTTATCAGAATAAGTAAAAGATGAAATGAAACGACAAGGAAGAGAAGGGAGGAATGGTGTATAGGACAGGAGGAGGGGGGATGGGATGTGAGAGAAGGGAAATCCCACATTGGTTAGAGGAAAAAGAACTCTAACTAATCTTCCATCTATACAATCCCCCGATTTCCATTCTACATTGTCCTTATGAAGTTGGATTGCCCAGATTTTGCAGTACCAAAATTGAAGAATGCAGATTTAAGGCAAATCATCCTTCTGAATTTAAGGATCAATAGAGAGTGGGAAGATCACTCTAGTGTGATAAAGTTTGGGACACTTGCATGTGAGTGTTGGATCTAGAGGTGCAACTTTTCCGGGTTAGGGTTGGGATTTTGTCAAAATTTCAATAGGCCCAACCCGAAACCCGAGCCCGAAATAGTGTAAACTGTTAACTCGGAAGAACCCAACTTGCACCCCTAGTTGGATCCTTTTCGTAGATAAAATATAGAGAACTATACTATCTAGAGCTTATACTTTACAAGTATTTTAACTTTGTGGTTGTCGAGCCTTTGTTCATGACTTGTCTCCTTCCCGTGGTAAGTTGGATCCTTGGTCTATTCCGTGTATCTTCCTTGGGTATCTCTATTCTCAAAAGGGTTACCGGTGCTTTAATCCCGTCAGTCATAAGTACTTTGTTTCTATGGATGTTTCCTTTTTTTTTTTTTGAGTCTGAACCCTTCTATCCTACTTTTCCTTAGGGGGAGTGTAATACAAAAGAGGAGAATTAGGTTTGTCAGGTCCATCTCCCTTCCATTCCGAATCATGCTCCTTTTTGTGTCTTCCTGCGTAAGCATTGTAGAGATCAATAATGTTCTATAGATGTGGAGTTGTCGGATACTAAGCAACTGACACTGTCAGAAACCTAGGAGGTAAGTCCAATTGAGCCAGGTACCCTTGTTCCTATTGATTCCTCTATTCTCGTTTTAGTTGTTGATTGTGTGGATGACCTCGACATTCCTATTTCCCAAAGAAAGGGTGTGGAGTCATGCACTACCAAACATCCCATTGCCCATTATATGTCTTATGACCACATTTCTCCCTCTTATCATGCATTCTTGTTTGCCATTGACAGTATCCCCATACCCAAAAAAGTGTGGTTGAGGACTTGAAAGTACCCTGAATGGACAGATGCTAAGAAGGAGGAAATTAATGCTCTCTACAAGAATCATACTTGGGATTTGGTGGATCTTCCAAATGGAAAAGACCTAGTGGGGTGTAAATGGGTATTCACAGTAAAGCACAAGGCAGATGGGAGTAGAAAGGTACAAAGCAAGGCTGGTAGCAAAGGGGTACATTCAAGTGTATGGTGTTGATTATGATGAGACATTTGCACTAGAAACAAAAATGAATTCAGTTCAGGTTCTTCTATCATTAGTTGCAAATCTAGATTGGGAGTTGCACCAAATTGATGTTAAAAATGCCTTCTTGAATGGTGATTTGGAAGAGGAGGTATATATGGTTCATCCATCTTTTTTTTATCAGTTCAACCATTGGGTTTCTATGCCAAAGGAAGTGAAAATAAGGTGTACAGGTTGAGGAAGTCTCTATATGGCCTAAAGCAATCACCCCGAGCATGTTTCATTAGGTTTTATACGTTGGTCCAGCAAGTAGGGTTCAGATAATGCTAGTTTGATCATACTCTCTTTGTCAAGACATGTCAAGGGTAGGTTGCAGTGTTGATAGTGTATGTGGATGACATCATCATTAGAGGGAATTAGGGCTCTGAAATACAGAAGTTGAAAGAGTTCTTAGCCTCCCAATTTAATGTGAAAGATATGGGACCCCTAAAGTATTACCTTGGGATTGAGGTTGCCCGCTCACAAAAGTATATCTTCATTTCTCAAAGGAAGTACATCCTAGATCTCTTACAAGACATAGACAAACTAGATGCAAAATTAGTTGATACCCCTATGGATGTTAATCATAAATTAGGGGATTGTGATGGTGAACCCTTGAAATATGTGGAACAGTTCCAAAGACTAGTGGGATGTATCTTTCTATGGCACACCCTGATATTGCTTATGTTGTTGGGGTTCTAAGCCAATTCATACAATCACCTAAAGTACTACACTTGGAGGCTACTAAGAGGATTCTTAGGTATTTAAATAAGTATCTAGGAACTGGTTTGCTATTTGAAGGTGGAAATTTATACAAGTGCTGATTAGGAAGGTGTTGTGGGTGATAGAAAATCCACAAGTGGGTATTGTACCTTTGTGGGTGGAAACTTAGTGACGTGAAGAAGTAAGAAACAGAGTGTGGTTGCGAGGTCAAGTGCTGAAGCTGAGTATAGAGCTATGGATGGGGTGGTTGAGGTGCTTTGGTTAAAGAATTTGCTAGGAGAGCTTGGTTTTAATGTTGATAGTCCTATGCCCCTCTATTGTGATAACAAGGCAGCTATAAGTATTGCAACTAACCCCGTTCTTCATGATAGGACAAAGCACATTGAGGTGGATAAACACTTCATAAGAGAGAAGCTTGAGAAGGGTGAAATCTGCACCCTATGTTAACTCCAAGGAGCAATTGGTTGATGTTCTTACAAAAGGACTTCCATGTTTGTGACACAATGAACTATGTGACAAGTTGGGCATGATTGACATACACAACCCAACTTGAGGAGTTTGCTAGTTTGTTCTCTCTGTTACATGTTGTTAGCATGTCATTTTCTTTTATTTTTTCCCGTTCTTTTAATTAAGTGAGATACCCGGGGACCTCCTATCATCAACTAAGGATCTAGCCATACAATCTACTTCTTACTCCATGAAACAATGTTCCCTATCACCATAGTACGATCAAGGTTTGAAATGTTGACGTCGATGGAAATGTCGGTCATCCAAATATAAGATACATGTCAGAAATGTCGGAAATATCATATGGAAATATTGTAAAAATTATAGATATGGTGGAAACATTGTAAAATATGCAAAATATAGAATGGTATTTTATGAAACGACAAAATAAGCATAGGCACACCTTTTTAAATTATTATCTTATTCCAAATCATTAGATGAAGCTAAGAAACTAAGGTTACAAACAAAAGAGTACGTTTCAAAGTTGCTAAGATTCAGATCTTCATGATAAAATGAGTTAAAGAAAAATTTAAACTCATAGAAAATGTAAATAGTTGCAATAGATCAACCAAATAATCTATTACACAAATAAAAACTAATATTTAACTTTGTGTTTGAAATGAAATAATGAATATTGAGTTAGATCAAAGTGGTAACCATATAAGTTAGGTGGACAATAACTTGTTACTTCACATACCTAAAATATTGTCACCAACTTATGTTATAATACTATCTCTTGTATTCCACATAGTATTAGTAGTGTTCATTGGGGAATATGTCAATTTTAGTAAAATTTCATGTTACCACCCATAGACGTGGAAATGAAAATATGTTGTGGAAGCTATCTCTTGTACTCCACAATATTGGTAGTGTTCATTGGGGAAATGTCGATTCCAATAAAATTTCGTGTCACTACCCATGGAAATGGAAATATTAGGGAAGTTAGGGACATTTTAAACCATGAGTACAATAGCCTGAGGTAGACCTTCTATCATCAATACATCAAATCCAGTCTGCATCAGTGTATGCTTATAGTTTCATGTGCCCATGCGTAGCAAACAAGATACCCTTCCCTGGAGTACCTTTTAGATAACACAGGATCCTTTCTACAGCAACCAAATGACTATCTCGAGGAGAATGCATAAACTGACTAATAAACTCACTGCATAGGAGATATTTGGCCAGGTCATGCAGAGATACAACAACTTTCCAAGTAGTCTCTGGAACACTCCCCAACAGTTCGCCATCAATAGCTGAGAGCTTGTGATTCAAGTTTATAGGTGTAGAAGCCAGTTTAGCACCAAGTTTTCCAGTCTCAGTGAGGAGATCAAGAATATACTTACGTTGAAAAATGAAGATACCATCCTTGGACCGAGCAACTTTAATTCCCAGGAAATATTTGAGTTCACCAAAGTCTTTAATCTCAAATTCAGTGCTAAGAAACCTTTTAAGGTTACACACTTCCTGTGCGTCATCACCAGTAACCATAATGTCATCAATATAAATAATAAGTAGGGTCCCCAAGGAATCTCTCCTCTTAACAAATAAAGTATGATCAGAATGAGTCTGTGTGTAGCCAAAGGTAATAATGGCATCCTGGAATCTCTTAAACTAGACTCTAGGAGACTGTTTGAGGCCATAAAGGGACTTCTTCAATTTACACACTTTCCCTTTCATTTCTTTCCCATACATCCCTGGAGGTAAAGTCATATAAATTTCTTCATGTAAATCTCCATTTAAGAATGCATTTTTTTTTACATCAAATAGCAAAACCCAAACTAATGCCATTTTAGCTACAAGAGCAAAGGTCTCCAGGCAATCAACACCATACATTGAGTGTAACCTTTAGCAACCAGTCGAGCCTTATATCTCTCAATAGTACCATCAAAATGGTACTTAATAGTGAAGACCCATTTACAACCAATCAGTTCCTTATCCTCAGTCAAGTCCACAAGGTCCCAGGTACTGTTCTTATGCAAAGCATCTATCTCAGTCATCATAGCATCCCTCCATTTTGGTTTAGATAAGGCTTTTGGGACAGACTTAGGAATAACATGTGTAGAAATAGAGGCAAAGAAGGAATAACAGGTTGGGAAAAAACGACTATAAGACGGGTGTTTGGAGATGCAATGAGTTGTACACTTTCGTTTGCCTTTTCAAAGGGCAATAGGAAGGTCAAGATCTGGGAAGGTATTAGTGGGAGTAAAAGAGGAGGATTGACCTGTTACCTCAGTAGTGAGGGAGGTGCATGAGGTTCAGTTGAAAGAGGGAAAATAACTTGCTCATACTTGAGTCTTTGTCTTTGGTACCACCTCTGGACAATGGGATAAGAAGTGAAAGTGGGAGGATGAGTTGGAGGAG